TGGACTTCCTCCTGTGCCCGATCACAGAGTCCTCAGTAATGTTTACTATCAATTTTCATCATAGAATATCATGAGATGGTTGGGAGTTGCTTAAATGAGCTATTTCTTATATGAACACTAATGGTACAAACTACATTAGTAGTGATGTTATGGGTCACTGAGTCCAAAAAAGAGCTAATGTGTTAGGTTCCCAAACACTAGACTACCACACGATTGTATCTAAAACACCAGAACATTTGACAGTATCAGCAACTACAGAAACCACAGGGCTTGCAGCACGAGCAGAGGAAATCATGGGAATCAAAGCGTCACTACACAGGCAGTCCCCGCTTAGGACTTCAGGACAGTCCGACTTGCCCTTCAATAGCTTGTAAATTTCTCCTCACTTTGAAGCAGGTGTGAGTCAACCCCGACTCGCCAGGAAGTCTTTAACACAATCGCTTTCACATGGGGCACCTGCAGCTTTTATATCATTAAAAAGGCCCCCGGACTTTATTCTTGCATTAAAGTATGTCAAAATAAGAACTCTATGCACCTGTTCTGACTCACAATTTCCACAGATAGATTTGAAGACGCAGGGCCAGGGCCTGGCCTGTCATTTGGTAGAAATGACAGTTCCGATTGGAACTCATTCTAGCTCCCCACTGCCATTGAGTTGATTCTGACTCATAGCGACCCTCTAGGTCAAGGGAGAACTGCCCTTTGGGTTGCTGAAGCTGTCAACCATTATAGGGGTGGATAACTAACTTTTCATCTTTCTCCCGCAGTGTCTGGTGGGTTCGAACCGCTGACCTTGCATCACCCATCACACCACCAGGGCTCCTCCTGATGAACTGTTACTGTGGTCAGGTGCCACTGATTTGGCGAGCTTATGCTCAACTGGGTGAAACACTGCCCGGTCCCGCACCATCCTCACAATGGTTACTCTTGAGCCCATTGCTGCAGCCACTGTGCCCATTTATCTCATTGAGGGTCTTCCTCTTTGTCATTGACCTTCCCCTCGACCAAGTAGGATGCCCTTTCCTAGGGATTGGTCTCTCCTGCTAACATGTCTCGGAAGTATGTAAGACCATCTCATCATCCTCACGTATGCGTCTCAGGAACATGCTGGCTACACTTCTTCCCACCAACAAGGTTTATTGTTTTTGGGCAGTCGAGGGTACTTTCATTGTTCTTCACCAGCACCATAATCCAAAGGCATCGGTTCGTCTTCAGTATTCCTTATTCAAAGGCCACCTTTCACATGCACATGAGGTGACTGAAAATGAGCAGGCTTAGGTCAGGTGCACCTTACATTTTCAGAAGATATTGTGCAGATTTACCTAATGCGATAGTTTATTTTATTTTATTTCTTGTCTGCTGCTTCCATGAACACTGATTGTGGATCCAAGCAAGATGAAATCCTGAACTTTACTCTTTTTTTTAAAAAAAGATAAACATGTTCATCATGCTATCAATCAGGATTTTGGCTTTCTTTACATGGAGTTCAAATCCATACTGAAGGCTGCATTTGAAGGTTTAAAATGTAAGTTAGTACAGTGATTTCCTTTGTAAGTATATGCATCAGCTGAACTTACGGAAAGTCTTGTCATTACTTACAGGGGTATTTTTATTTTAAAAAAATCCTACTGAAACACTAACACTGCATAAAATTTTATAGACAGTCATATTGGTGTCACTTTCTCTGCTCACGTCACCGGTACGGTCCGTACACCCTCCCCTCACCCTACACCTCCCTAGTGACGACTCAGGGTGGGGCTGGGTGGCCTTTGGGATCTCAAATTCTGACAAGGGTGGACCACCCAGGGCGCTGCCATGAGTCGCGGCTGCCATCTAGTGGCTTCAGCTGAGAACACCAAAGGCCTCCCTAAATCCTGCGATTGGGGGAAACCAAAGCAGCTGATGCCAAGTTGTGTGCTCTGTACTTTGGAAAACTTCCCCTGCTTCACGCTTTACAAGGACAAGAAGAGAGGGGCGAGGTGAAAAAACTCACACGCAGCTTTTCCGACACGAACGCCGCACTATCTTCTTCGTTCCCATCTTTCACTTTCCTCCAGCACAGCGGCTGCCGGTGCGCGGCTCACCGCGTCCGCTCTGTCTGAGCAGCACTTTGAACCCCACGCTCTGCCCTTTTCCTGACCTTCTGCTCTGTAGCTTCCCTCCACTGCACCCTTCTCAAATGCAAAGGGGTGCTTGCTTTAAACCAGCGGTTCTCATCCTGTGGGTCTCGACCCCTTTGTCTTTCACAGGAGTCGCCGATTCGTAACAGTAGCAAAATGACAGTTACAAAGTGGCAACGAAAATAATGTTATGGTTGGGGGGTCACCACAACGTGAGGAACTGTATGAAAGGGTCGCGGCATTAGGAAGGTTGAGAACCACTGCATAAACTCTTCATCCATGCCTCCCGGTCAGCTCACCCTCGGGGTCTCTTCCCTGCCTAGTTTGCGGGCTCCGTTGCCTCCACTGGCAAGCACTCACTCCTTGGTCTCTGCACCCCTCACCACTAGGTCTGCTTCTTCCCAGGGATTCCAGGACTGTCCTTTTCGATTTCTAGGGCTCTTCACTCTCCGATTTCCTTTCTCCCCCTCTTTTCCTAGCTCTTGGATTCCACCCTGTGCTGCAAGCCAGCATTCTGACCCTTCAGGGCCCGGAGGTACCCACTCCCCAAGTATGTCTTTTCTCCCCTCAGGCCCCTCCCCCAGTCCATCCCTCTCTCTGTCCGGTGCCACCACTTGGCCCTGGGCACGACTCACCTGGTTACTGTCAGGTCTCTAATGAGTTTCTCTTAGTCCCACCTTGGCCACCTCGAGTCCCACCAGTTGGAGTCATTTGTCTGATGGCATCCCTCCCTGGTTCAAAGCCGCTCCATGCTCGTCTTGTTTAATCAGTCCAGTCCGGCCCTCCTCGCCTGCCTGAATGGCCCCTGCTCACTTCTCCAGATGGTTCACCTGTGATGCTCTGGGATAACAGACCTCTTTAAGGTCCTTGTCTCAGCTGATTCTACCTCATGGCAAACAACCAAACGGGACCTAAGCTTGGCAAGGGATGATGGAAACACATGACCTCCTCAGTCAGGCCAAGGGCAGACTGCAGAAGCAACCATCAATGGCTTGCAAGCAAGTTCAGGTGGAAGCTGAGGAATATTAGAAACAGGACCGCAGAGCCAAAACATGACCTGGCCTTTTGTCCACTGATGCTTAGAGACCATCTCAAGAACCGAGTGGATAATCGAACACTCACGACTGGAGACCAGGTGAGTTGTGGGATGACATCAAGGGCATCAGACATGAAGAAAACAAAAGTCATTAAAAAGACAGGCGGAGTAAGATACGACAAAATAATAATTTATAAATTATCAAGGGTTCATGAGGGAGGAGGCAGTGGGGAAGGAAGGG